CAGAGTGCTCACAACCAGGGCGAAGAGGGGAAGAAATCAGGAAAGGGATCATTTGGGAGATAGAACTTAAATTACAGGGAGCTAGGTAGTTAGAGTGCCACACTTGAAATAAAAAAGACTTGACTTCAAATCTGGCTTCAGACACTTACTAGCTGTGTGACCCTGAGCAAGTCATTTAACCTTGTTTGCCTCAGTTTCTCATCTGTAAAAATGAACTGGAGAAGGAAATGGCAAACTACTCGGTATCTTTATGAAGAAAACTCCAAATGGGGTCACAGAGAGTTGGATATGACTGAAAAACAGCTGAATAATGAACTTGAGCTGTAGTTTAGTGAAAGCTAGACATTCAAGAGACTGAGATGAAAAGAAAGCACATTCCAGAGATGGGCAGTCATGTGTCACTTTCCTGCATAGCAACAGGAAATCTAATGCTTCGTACTGAGAACAGATAATGGGCCAGTTTGACTGGAAGAGGGTATATGAAGGTTAGTCATATGAAATAGGACTAGAAATGTAGGCAGGAGATTTAGCAGTTGTGTGGAGAATAAATTGCAGAAGGGGAAGACTAGGAGTAGGCAGAACAAATAGGAAGCTATTGCAATAGTCTGGGCAAGGGGTGATAAAAGCCTGAACTACCAAAGAAAGGGACAAATGGGAGGGCAGTCAATATGGACAGGAACAAGACTTGGCTATTGATTAAGCATGGGGGTGGAGAGAGAAGGAGGAGTCTACGATAACTCCAAGCCTGTGAACTTGGATGACTGGAAGGGCGCTGATGCCGTTCACAGAAACTGTCGAGTTTGAAGGAGAAAATCAAATGAATTCTGTTTTGGACGCGTTGAGTTTGACATACTTAAACAACATCCAAGTGGAGATGTTTAGCAAGCAGGACTGCTGTTCGTGAGAGAAAGTTAGGGCTGGACATACAGATCTGAGCTGCATTTGCATAATGATGATATGTGAACCCAAGACAATGGATAAATCACTGAGAGAAAAGATAGGAAGAGAAGAGAAGAGGACTCAAAGCAAAGACACTTAGGGGGTGCCCACATTTAGTGGTCAGAAGGAAAATGACCCAGCAAAATAGACTGAGAAAGAATGAGAGACAGGTCGGAGAAAATGTATGTAAAGTGCTATGCAAACCTTAAAGTGATTTATAAATAAAAGTCTTGTTATTATTTGTAAAACAGATGGGTGACCCCAGTGTTACTGCTAACTATGAATCAAAGAATCAGAGCTAGGCCCCTAATTAGGTGGATTCTGTACGGAGAAGTTCTAGAAAAAGATAGTCAAGAATGCCACAGGATAAAAGAGGCATGGAAAGCCCAGGAGCTGCCCCGGTGGAGGGGGTACTCACATTAATGAGACCAAGGAAGTATACTGAAGTACAGGCCATAACCTGTCTCTCCTGGAAGGCTGATTGGGAAGTCTGAATAGCTTATATTTTGGGGTATAACATGTGTTTGAGCTGCGTGTAGGGGATGGAATTCCACACTGCATGTATGGTGACCATGAAGCCAAATGTCTCTTCCTCATTTTAGCCAACCAAGCTTTCTAGACCTTTAGCACCTTATAAAGATAGCCCCAGTGGACAGCAGCTCCCTACTTCACAGAATCAAAGAAATTCAGAGTTGGAATCATCATCATAGCTCACTTTCTATAGCACTTTAAGGGTTATAAAGTACTTTCCTCAGGTAGCCCTAGTGAAGCTGAGATGGGTACTGTTAAGTATCATTATCATCCCTATTATACAGATGAGGAGACTTGAAGCTCAGAGAGAGGATCTACCTATAAGTTATAAATGTAGTAAAGATCAGTATTGGGATTTAAACCATTTTTTCCTAATTATAAAATAGGTACTTTCTTTTCCAGAGGTGAAAATCACAACTTATAAAAGGGAAGTGACTTGCCCATGATCACACATGGACTCAGTGACAAGAGTTGACTAATCAGGTCGAACATCCCCATCTCTAGTTCAACTTTCTTTCCACCGTACCATGGATTTTTAGGTACAGTCCTCAAGGTCTGGTGGAGTAAGAAAAGGGTAAACTACAAAGTATTATGTAAATCTGAGTCATAATAACAATAATAATAGTAGAGATCCTTCTCCATTTATGTTTTAGGCTTAATTTCCCAAAGGAAAAACTTATTCTATTTAAACTGGGCTTTTACAGAGTAACCTTGGCTCCATATAGGTAGGACAAGAGGAGGGTGAGGGTTAGGGGTGCCCTCTTCTTCTAGGGGTTCTGATTCTACTTTCTCACTTTTGAATGGGTAGAGTGAAAGCATAATGTAGTGCAATGAAAATAACAGGGTCCTGAGTCCATGCCGAATGAAGATCAGATGAAAGAACTGGGGATATTTAACCGGGAGATGAGAAGACTCAGGGGAGACACAAGAGCTGTCTTTAAGTATCTGATGGGCTGTTATGTGAAAGAGGTAACAGACTCATTCTGTTTGGCCTCGAAGAGCAGCACTAGAAGCAATGGGTAGAAGCTGCCAAAAAGCAAATTTAGACTTGATGTCAGGAAGAGCTTCCTAATGGTCAGAGGGGACTATTAGTGGCCTGGGCCACTTCAGGAGGGAGTGGGTTCCCCCTCATTGAAAGACTTCAAACAAGCTAGATGACTACGTGTCAGGGATGTTGGAATGAGGATTCTTCTTCAGGCATAGACTGGATTTTAGGTCTCTCCCAAACCTGAAATTATTAGTTACTGTCTTTCTATGGATTCAGGAATAGGAGCTAATCTTGTATTTTCTGTACTGAAAATGTTATAATCTGTCCTCTGCACATGGATACAATGGAACAATGAGCACTGAGATTACAAAATCATGGGATTTCAAAACTGGAAAGGGCCTCAAAAGACATCTGAGTCCAACCTGGACCAAATATGGATCAATGCATCATTTTAGGAGGCAGCAAGGGGTGTGGACAGAGTCCTGGATCTTTGTCACAAGGGATTGTTCAACCTGGAATGTGTGTGTGTGGTGGTGGTGGTGGTGGTGGTGGTGGTGGAGGGGTGCAGCTTGGATATTATGTGAAATAAAGTCAAAAGGTGTCAATAAAATGTGTGTGTGTTTTAAAGAAAACAGAAACACTGGTATTCAGAGTCAAAAAACTTGATCACTAGTACCAAACCTACAACTGAATTGCCAGGTCCCTTTCCTCTTCTGGGCATCAGTTTTCTCCTTTGTCAACTAATACAGGCTAGACTAGATAACCTCGAGGGTTCCTTCTCTCTTTTACATTCTATGTTCTAAGGCTCCTTTGAGCCTTGACCTTTTAAGTTCTATGTTCTAAGGTTTTTCCCAGCTCTCACTGAAGTAGGTAGAAAGAATGCTGGGCCTGGGATCAGGAGTTCTGGGTTCAAGTCCTTGCTCTAACACTTACTAGCTATACTTCTCAGCTTTGTGACCACGAGCAAATCACATAACCATCATGGAGCCTCAGTTTCCCCATCTATAAAGTGGGAGTGGTAGTAATCCTTGCCCCTTCAGTCTATAACAGAGCTGTTAAGAGGAGCAACTGAGAAAATGGATGTAAACATACTTTAAAATGCAAGACATGGTTATTTTCCTATGATGGGCCAGGGCACAGTGAAAAAACCTATGAATAAGATGCACCCCCTACCTTGCACTCTGCTGAACAGGAAAATCCAAGCCCTCACTTTGCTGAGGGCTGTAGGGTTGGCTTTGTGAATAGACAGTAAAGTATGCGTGCTTTTTTTCTTTTTATAGCCTGTTTCCAGGGTGCCCTGAAAAGCCCTGAATAAACCACAGCTGGGGAGGCTTGGACAGCTTAGGGGCCCTAGAATATTATCAAGCCATCCTCTGAGGTCCACTCTCCCAGTCTCAAGCCTCTAGAGTAGACCATACTTCTCCTGACTCCCTGAGGAAAAGAGCTCACAAAAGTGCTCAGATTCTACTCTTTCATTCTCTCAGATGAATGAGGCAGTGAGGGGTAATGGAAAGAATACTATGCCTGCAGTCAGAAGGCCAAGGTTTGAATCCTGCCTCTAACACTTATGAGTTGTTCAATCAGTAGGAAATTCACTTCACTGTTCAAAGTCACAATTTCCTTATCTATAAAATGGGTATAATAATACTTGTACTGCCTTACAGGTTGGCTGTGAGAAAAGCGCTTTTAAGTGTAAAGTGTTATAGCAATGTGAGTTTTTATTATTACTGCTATAAGACAGAATTATGGTTTAATAATAGCTAGCATTTATATAGTGTTTTAAGGTTTGCAAAGCACTTTACAAATACCTTCTCTTTTGATCCTTACAACAATCCCATAAGGTAGTTGCTATTGTTATCCTTATTTTACAGATGAGGAAACTGAGGCAGAAAGCATTTAAGTGACTTGCCTGGGGTCACCCAGCTAGTAAGTGTCTGAGGCTGGATTTGAACTCAGGTCTTCCTAACTCCAGGTCCAGTGCTCTATCCACTGCAACACATAGCTGTTTGGTGGAAAAACACCAGATATCTGGGCATGAGTTCTAGTTTTGCCACTTACTAGCTATGTGGCCTTGAGCAAATTTTCTCATCTATAAAATGAGAGGATGCAATAAGATGTCTTCTGAGGTTCCTTCCAGATATGATCCTGTGATTGCTAAAGTCTCCTTCTAGCTTTAACATTATATGTTTCAAGGTCCCTTCCAGGTTTCACACTCTATGTTCTAAGGTCCCTCTCAGCTCTGACACTTGTTAAAAGGCAAACTGAATACTCAAAATTCTAGCTTCCTGACCCCTTCTTATTAATAATTGTCTGAGAAGGTATGTGGAGGTGGGTGGGAACATGAATTCCGTGGATTTCACCGGAATAATTCTCCTCCTGACCATCAGGGAGTTCTGCTCAGCAGACCAGTTAAGCAGGAATACTTTCTTCCCTTGCCTTCTTCCACCTCTTTCAGCTTTGACTGCCTTTCCAAGATAACAGACCAGCAACCTCTTCAATTTTCAGTCAATTTTCACAGGCCTTGGTCTTTTGTCTCTGATAGGGTGATACAATGTACCTGGCAGGTCCAGGGAAGGGAGACATTTCTGCCTGATGTTCTCTAACCAACCCTCTCTGAAGACGGCTACTCACCTGCTCCTGGGAATTCATTACCCGTAGCTTCATCTGCTTCAGGTATGTCGAAGTGAGGGGCATGTTGTAGTCGATGATCCCAGAAACCAGAGGGGAGGGAGGCTCATTTTCTGAAGGAAAGAACAAACCAGAAGCTATTGATAGCCTGTACTTAGGGCTCCAGGAGCCTCCACCTCAAAGGAGGAACTCGGCCACTGACACCTAAGAATGCTTCATCTTTACTCTCAGTGGACTCAGTGGACTGAGAGAAAACCCATGCTATTCACACACTCATTTCTATAATCCTTTAACATGAGTGATACACTTTCTTCTTAACCATCATTGGGCTTAGTACTGTGTTATCATCACCATTTTACAAATGGGGACTGAGGCTTAGAGAAGGAAGTGGCTTGCTCATGATAACATGGCTAGTGTTGAAGTGTTAAATGTGAAACTTGGACAAAACTGAAGTGACCATTTTAAACTTAAGTTATTCATTCAAAAAACATTGTTTGCTTTATGGAGAGTCCTATGCTTCGGAAAAAGACACAAAGACAAATAATAAGTCACATTTCTGTGGTGCATTAATGTTTTAAAAATGCTTCCCTCACAGCAGCTCTTGAGTGAAAGTATTATTAACCCCATTTTATAGATAAAGAGACTGAAATTCACAGAAGTGAAATGACTTCCTCAAAATCACACAGCTGTTAAGTGGTGGACTTAGGATTTGAATCCAGATCTCCCGACCTCAAGTCCAACTCTCTTCTGTGGAAACAGCACTTACCTTTTTCAACTCAAATCAACAAACACTTATTAAGTGCCCGCTACATGTCAGACACCATGCTAATCCCTGGGGAAACAATAAGAGTCCCCTGACTTTGAGGTGTTTATGATCTTACACGGAGTTATGATTTGTACACAAACATACAATAACTACAAAATAATTATAAGGTAGAATAGCCTATAACAACATTAGGCTTCCTGGAAGAGGTAACATTTGAGTTAGTACTTGAAGAATGAATGCAGAAGATTTCAAGAGATGGTGATTGGGAGAGAAGTTAATCCAAGGATAGGGAAACAGTACAAGCAAAGGCATAGAGGTGGAAAAACAAGGGGCATGTGGGCAGGGAGGGGGAGGAAGAGTCTAGTTTGGCTGGTGCAAGGGTACATGAAGGGGTGTAGCACCAGATAGGAAATGATATAGTAGAAAGAACACTAGATTCTGGAGAATGGAGTCCATAGGCACCTTATTGAGCCTCAATTTTCCTTACATAAAATGGAGATCTTGTAAAGAAAGTGCTTCACAAACCTTAAAATGCTGCAGAATAGTAATGTTATTATAAGGCTGGCAAGGTGGGAACCTGGCAGGAAGCCTTGAATGTCAGCTTTGGGACTTGAGGCACTATTCAGTAGGTGGTGAGAAGCCACTGAAGGGCTCTGCACAGCCCTGGAGCTATTATTGTAGTCTCTATCTTGGTCAGGTGAGGCTGCAGAGGAAAAGTTATGAGTCAAGGACAACTCCAAGGTTAGCTGGCCATGTATCGATTAGAACCGAATTCCCAAACATAATGAAACACATCCCAAGTGCTCAGTGGGTGAGAGGGGAGGGTGGAGCACTGGGCTTTCCTTTGGATTTTAGCTCCATCCTCCACTTCCACAGGAGGACCTTGTCAGCTCCTACCCACCCCTTCCCTCAGGCACAGCCACAGGGGGTAGGAAAAAAACACCCTTCACATTCCAGTTTCCCCTCCACCTCCTGGCCTGGGCTGAGAGACTAATGAAAGGAGCAGGCTCTAGTAGAAAGACTCCTGGCCCTGGAGTCTGGAGATGATGGCAAAGTCCCTGGTTGCACTATTGATTAAAGGGAGTGTGGCATGGATAGAACACTGGAATTGAACTCTGAAAGACCTATGTTCAAATCCTACTTGTGAAATTTTACTAGCTGGGTAACCTTGAGTAGGTCACAACTTCTCAGCCTCAGTTTCCTCATCTATAAAATTAGGATGAGTATACCTATAGCACCTACGCCATAGGGCTGTTGAAAGACTCAAATGAGATAATATATGTAAGACACTCCGCAAACTTTAAAGTGCCATCAAAATGTCAGTTTTTATTATATTAGTGATCTGGCTGAGCAAGCCTCTTCAGCTCAGTCCAATGAAAAGAGCTCTCAGTTTGGAGCCAGAAGACATGGGTTTGAATTCCATGCTTGTATGACCTTGGGCAAGTTACTGAGATGCCTCAGACCTCAGTTTTCTCATCTACAAAACGAGGGAGTGGACTAGAGGGCACCTGAGTGCCCTTCCAGCTCTAAATCTATAATCCCATGATCAGCCTCAGTTTCCCTACCTGTAAAATAAGGACAATATCATCTTTCTCTTTTTAACTACCTGTATCATATGGTTGTTGAGATAGTCAAATGAGACAGTATCTATGAAATCTATTTATAAATTATAAATCACAGTGTCTATGTAATTTCTCATTATTAAGTGCAAGGGATATCTACAAGAAGGCATTATCTCCTCCCTTCCCCCTTCAAAAAATACCAAAACAACAACAAAACCATGTATCCTCTGGGCTTTTCTTGATTCATTATCTTCCCCATCAGTTAGGTTAAACATTTCTTGACTCCTCCCTCTTCTACTCACTAGTTACTGGATCTCACCTCTTCTATATTACCATCCAAAGACATACTCAAGAGTGGAAGAGAGACTGGTGCCCTCATTAGGGCTATTAGCAGCAGCTGCTACCTCCCTGATTCTAACATCTAGTTTCAATACAAAAGACTGATTGCTTCCATCAACCCAAGGGCTTTCCAGAAGAACAAGGACCTTTTTAAAGCCTGAACTAAGTAATCCAGAGTTCCCTCCTGAAGCTAATAGCTTCATCAGTTCAAGGATCTGATATTCCCCCTATATGGACACACCTTCCACAGGCACGTATCATAGCCAAGCTGTGAGTTGGTGTGGTAAAAAACAATAACAACAACAACAACAAAAAAACCCCTCGTCATCTCATTAGCCTCTCCACACTTGTCTACGATGGTCTTCAAACAATAGACAAACGGTCTGAGACTAGACTCAAGTAAAAAAGGCTTTCCCATTTTTAAAGATGAGATACAGGTAGTACTTGATTGACGTAGCCTGGAGTTCTAAAAGGCTATGCCAATGGTATACAGAAAGACCTTACTGGAAGTCTCCTCTGCAACTGGATGTCATTATACATTTAAGTCTTGACTACTTCCCCAAATTCTTGTAATTATACTACCAGGTCACTCACTTATCTGCATAGCTGTGGATGCCTTTGGGGGGGGTAAGAGTAGGGGTAGAAACAGAGCTGATTTGGATCCTGGCTTCTGACATTGATCGCCTACACAACACATTCTTCCATATTCCACATTCAATTCTTCCATATCTAGGGTCACAGTCTCCCAACCTTTGATGGCCAACATCCTGGCAGTCTCTGATATGGGCAATCCCAGAAGAACAGGAACATTTGGGTTCAGCTACAGAAGTTATCATCTGAGGATCCATTTCTTGCTGACACAGTCATCACCGCCCAAGCTCTTCAGTGTTTTCCATGCCTAAGACTACAGGTGGCTCACACTCTAGCCTGGTGTATAAGATTTATTTCCCCAGGGTCAAATCTAACTCAGAGGAACAAAAACACAGACACACAAGGAAACCACCAAGGAAACACAAGGCTCCCCAGAGCTGTTCTGCTCAGACATGCAGGGATCTCACATGACTAATTCTCCCTTCTATCAGTACACTCAGTTCTGCAGCTACCAAAAAAGGGCCAATTTAGCCCAGAGGTAGTGAGTCTCATTGCTTCTCTCTCCTGCCCAAAGACAGAATGAAGAATGGAAGAGAGACTGGTTCCCTCCTCAGGGCTATTGGCAGCAGCTGTCACCTCCCTGATTACATAACATCTAGATTCAATACAAAAGGATGCCTGCTCCCTTTCTAAGGGTCTTCCAGAAAAGAGATGTCAAACACATGGACTGCAGAACCAAATAAAAATGTAATTGGGAAATATTTAACAAGATAATTAAGAACAAAATAGAATATAGATGTTAATATGTGGTTTTCTAAGTCAATATGTAGCTTATAGGGATTCTTTTGAATGGTTTAGTGGTCCCCATTTTTATTTGAGTTTGATACCACTGTTCCAGAAGAACAAGGGTCTTATTAAGTCTGAACTAAGTAAATGGTCCAGAATTCACTCCGGAAGCTAAAGAATTAGAGAAATATCCTAACGACCAAAATAGGTATATTGCGCCAAAACTTTAAATGTTCTCACCAAGGGTGTCATTCACAAGAAAAAGATGTCTGTACTTTTAGATAATGTTACCCAGTGGAAAAAGCTGCCTTATTAGATACTAAGGAGTGTGATCGTGAATGATCCAGCAAATCCTTAGTGAGAAAGAGGAGAGCTTCTGGAGATGTATTTCAATATCTATTTGCCAAATCGAGATGGCAACCAGCTCAAGGGCTGGATATGTTTACAGAACTTCACAGACAATCAATGGTGCAGAAGCTTCCCTCAGACCCAGCCAAGCTAAACCTACTCCATCACCTAAAATCAGAAAGTATTAATGAATCAATGAAAACTGACCGTAGTACTTCCTGCATTTTCCCAGGGCCAGCCACAAGGCGGCAACTTTGGAAGCAGTTTTGTGAGGGGAGGTGAAAGCTTGGAGATGCCTTCTAAGGGTCCCTTCCAGCTCTGATAGTCTAAGATTTTATAGTTATTTTGTCTTTAGGGATCTGTGACTTTATCTATGGGGAGACCTTGCTTCACTGATATAGATCACAACCTCTTCCAGGTATTTGCAGTTAATTTTCATGAATTGCTAGGGCCAAAGCATTCATGATCTGGTGGCCCACCTTCTGACGACAAGTATGTAACATCATCATCATCATCATCATCATCATCAATAATAATAATAATAATAATAATAATAATAATAATAATAATAATAATAACAATAGCAGTTATATGGAATTTATCATGTGCCGGATACTGGGCTAAGCACTTTACAATTATCTCCCTTGATCCTCACAACAATCCTGAGAGGAAGGTGATATTATTATCTCCATTTTACAGACAAGGAAACTGAGGTAAACAGAGGTTAAGTGACTTGTCCAGGATCACATAGCTAGTAAGTATCTGAGGCTGGATTTGAACTCAGGTCTTCCTGAGTCCAGGCCTGGACCTTTATCTACTGTACCAGCTGGCTGTTCCAACAAGCACAGATTGACAAACAGCAATCATTTCATCCATCTCTACAATAGTTCACACAACATTATAAATAAAAGAATAATAGCAGTATATTGACTTGTCCCAGGACTATTTCTATCTAAATTCCATTTAAAATGTAAGAAGAACAAGATAATGCTGTACAGTGGCTGAGAAAAGCAGCACAAGGGTGTGGAGAGAGAGACCCAGTCTCAGTCCCAGGAAGATCTGAGTTCAAATTCTGCCTCCAACACATGACGGCTCTGACTCTGTGTTAAGTCACTTAACCTGCCATTGCCCCAGACAACTCTAAAGGCTATGAGCCACAGAGCAGGTTTCACAGTGGTAGAGGACATTTCCTCATGACTAGTTTCCTACTCTAATGCAGTAGCTAAGTGAAGCATTGGATAGAGCGCTGGGCCTACAGTCAGGAAGACCTGAGTTCAAATCCAGCCTCACACTCACTAGCTGTGTGACCCTGGGCAAGTCATTTAACCTCTTGCTGCCTCAAATAAGGATAAAAATAGCACCTACCTCCCAGGGTTATTGTGAGGATCAAAGGACATGATATATTTAAAGCACTTAGCACAGTACCTGGCATATAGTAGGTGTTGTACAAATGCTTATTACCTCCCTCCAAGTAACATCACAGGTCTGGTAGGGAAACATTCATTAAATGGCATTTATACAGTACTTTAAATTTTACAAATATCTACATCATCTCATTGGCTTCTCACAATGATTCTGTTAGGTGGGTACCGCAGATATTATTACTCCCACTATTTCAGATAAGGAAACTGAGGCACAGAGCGATTAAGTGACTTGCCCAGTGGCACATAGCTAGTAGTTAGCTAGGCTAGTTCAAGAACCATAAACACAAAGCTTGTGTCCCACTGGCATAGCCCTTGAGAACTTAGGGGTAGCTCCACACCACAAGCGATCAGGGAAGAATAAATAGCAGTTTAAGTAGAGAGGGTACTGGGGCAAGAGCCTCAGCAAAGGCCTAAGTCCCCCACTTCACCTCATGGTTCTAAGTCTATGTTCTTTCATGGACCTAAGCGCCCCAGGGGTCGTCAGGTATCTCTCAGGAGAATGACGGTAGAGTCTGGCAGCCCTGGCATTTCTCACCCTGATTTCCCGTTTGCTTTCAGCCCTTGTTTATGCTGTTCATGGGGAATGGAGAATCAGGATGCAGGGGCCTGGACTGTCCGTGGTTAGAAACAGACAAGGAAAGGATACTTTCCACAAACCTAGAAGGCAGGATTCAGGGGCTTCTTCTAAAGGAAGCATGAGCAATGTCCCTGTCCTAGTCTGAGTTAGAAACAGCCCAGGGGAACCTCCCCTTCCCCAGGCCCTCACTCTGTAAATGACCTTTCACCTTTCTTGTCCGGTGCTGAATCAACTCAAAAAGCCAAACAAGCCCAAATTAGCCCTGCTGGGAAACATCCCTTATCTCTTCTAGGACAGTGGATGGAGGTTAAGGGAGAGAATGCTGGCAGTGAAGCAGCAGTGAGAGAGAACACCAATCCCTAATGGCCAGAGGGACCAGGAAAAGTGCAAAGGGTTGCTGTCCCTTCTTCCTCCCCTGCCCCACCTGTGTGCTGCCAGGCATCCAGAGCTGGCTGATGCCTTCTAGGCATTTTGAGGGGATGTTATATTTAGAGACAATTCTCTTGTCAGCAGGAGAGAGAGGAGGAAGAGAGGGAGAGAGACAGAGAGAGAGACAGACAGACAGAGAAGAGGAAAAGAGAGAAGAGAGAAAGGTGGGGGGAGAGAGAAAGAGACAGAGAGAGACAGAGACACAGAGAGAGAGAGAGAGAGAGAGAGAGAGAGAGAGAGAGAGAGAGAGAGAGAGAGAGAGGAAAGAGGAGAGGGGAGGAAAGGAGAGAGAAAGGGAGGGAGAGGGAGAGATAGAGAGACAGAGAGACAGAGAGAGGAGAGGAGAGAGAAAGGGGGAGAGAGAGAGAGAGAAAGAGACAGAGACAGAGGAGAGAGAAAGGGAGGGAGACAGACAGAGACAGAGAGAAGAGGAAAAAGAGAGGAGGAGAGAAAGGAAGTAGGGGGAGAGAGAGAGGAAGAGGAAGCAAAAGAGATGAGAGAGAGAGAGAGAGAAAGAGAGAGAAGGAAGAAGAGGAAGGGAAATAATGTAATTCTGTTGCCTTCCCCAATCAAGATAGGGCCACAAAGAGTACATGCTGACATTTTCTGTCCTTACAGTTTCCTTAAATCCCTTTTTCTGGGGTCTCCAAGGAACAAGAAGTGGAAAAGAGGGTGAGAAGCAGTGTGATAAAGGAGAAAGAACATTTGCCTTGGGGTCAGAAGACTTGAATTCAGAGCCATCTCATTCCATTTTGGGGACAGCTCTCATGATTATTAAGATTTTCCTTATATTAAATAGAAACCTGCCTTTCTGCAACTTCTACCCCTTGCACTGACTTTTGGGGTCAAGAAGAACAAGTGGGCCTCAGTTTTCTCATCTGTAAAATGAGAGCCTGGGAGGTAAACTAGATGGTTTCTGAGGTCCCTCAGTTTGCACCTAGTACTGCTCTGCATTGATTAAAAGGGTTTCTTTATTGAAAGTTTCCTATATCAATAAAATCATGGGCCTGGTTCAAAAAAATTAATTTGAACAGTACCAGGAGCAAACTAAGGCGTAATGTCTTAGAAATACTTGCAGTTCAATTGCTAGTGGCCAAATCCTCCCCATTCCACAAATCACATTTTAAGAAGGATATTGAAAAATGAAGGCTCAACTTGAAGAGATTCAGAAGAATCTCGTTGGTGAACAGATTGGAGACAATGCCATAGGAACACTGGCTTGAAAGAGCTAGGGGTATTTATCCTGGAGAGAAGGCAAGATCACTGTCTTCAAATGCCTCTGGGTCTGGCTATCCTATAGAAGAGGGATCTGATGTAGGCTCATAAGACACAGAACTGGAAGGGACCAACGTTCAGGTTGCGGCATTTCAAGGTGATAGGTATGTGATCTTAGGTAATATGCTTTGCTTACCTGGGTCTAAGTTTACTAATTTGACTAACAGGAATAATAATGCTTCCTGAACCACCTCAGAGGGCAGAGGTAAGGAAAGGCTCTATAAGCCTGTGTTAGTATGATTGCCAGGGTTTAAAATGCTGTGCACTCAGAGCTCTCCACCTCACCTATCTCAGCTACAAAGGGAGAATATACAGGCAAAAAACCTGTCCTAGTGTAAGCAACCTTAGAGTCGCGACCCATTCTTCGGTTCTCCCTCATTTCTTAGGGTGTTGGCTTCAACAGGGAAAGCTCTGTTACCTGAGGTAAAGAAATGAAGTGTATTCAAAGGGTGAGGACCTGATGGGCACAATGGGGAATTAATCCACCCTTTCTCCTGACAGGAGCACACTGGACTGAGGTTTCTCTGCTGAACCCACAAGGTTTATTTATATTCCAAGGGATTTCTCAGCTCCAGCTTCCTCCTCTCTCCTCTTTCCTCTTCTCCCTCCCTCCCTGCAGAAGGTGGGGGAAATGAGCCACTCACTGCATGATACCCCCTCCCTCCTCTCCATAAAGATCATTTGGAGAGGGAGTCAGCAGCCCCAGGAGACCTCTGGAGCCTTAATTGGGGAGTGGGAGGATGAGGACATCATCATGCTGATGATCTCCAGAGCCCTGGAGAGGTGGGGGGTGGGAGGGGAGGGGGAAGGGAACGGGAGCATCCTCCTCATGCCACCTCCTGCTAGGAAGCTTGGCTGCCAGAGGGGAAATTGAAATGGAATGAAGCTGGCAAAGGGCAGGAGAGAGTACTGCCACAGACCCTGCCTCAAGGATCCCTGCTGTTGAAGTGGGAGGGAGACAGAGAGTAGCTTCCCCTTAGAATCGCTACAGAGCAAAGCCTCCTTCCTAGCTGACGCCAACCTCTCGTAGCCCCTTTCCTCCCCCAGAACGGGCTCTGTGTCTGACACAGCCAGTTGCTGTGGAAATGATTAGGATGTGAAACGGAGGGTGACGACTCCAGGCAGGAATTAAGCAGTGGGAGAAGATGCCCTCAGGACTAAGACCCTATTTTTGAAAAGACATCCTGGAGGAATAAAACACTGCCTAGGCTAGAAGTTTCTAAAAGAAAGAAGCAGTGGGGTGTGGTCAACACCAGTGGACCAATATGGGTCCCAATTCTAGTGATTATCATCACACCCAAACACACATACACATACTCTTACTAGCTGTGTGACCATGGGCAAGTCACTTCCCTTTCCTGGGTCTCAGTTTCTCCATCGGACAAGTGAAGGGGCTGGATTACATAATAATAATAACAATAATAATAGCTCACCTGTATATAGCACTTTAAGGTTTTCAAAGTGCTTTACATACCTTAACTCATTTGATCCTAACAACTCTGTGAGATAGGAACTATAATTGTCCCACATATGAAGAAACTGAGGCTGAGAGAGGTAGTTTTGTCCAAAATCATAGCTAGTAAAAGAAATGGAGAGGATCTCTAAGGTCCCTCCCAGTTAGGACAACCTGTATTCCTCTTTTGACAAGCAGTACAGCAGTAGTAAAAAGAACACTGGCCTTTAACTTAGGAGACCTGGCTTTGAGTCACTTAGTACTCAACACTGAGCAAGTCACTTACTTAGCCTCTTTTAGTCTCAGTTCCTCTATCTGTCAAATTGGTATAATTGGACCTGAACTCTGCCTCCAATGGCTGTTGTGAGGAAAACACTTTGGAAATCTTAAAGCATTATAGGAATATGAGTGATATTATTTTTATTATTACTACTACTACTACTACTACTACTATTATACATATGTTAAGGTCTCTTGTCCAGCTCTGACATTTTATGTTCTAAACTTTCTTCTGACATCCTAAGGTCTTACCTTCCAGGGCCACCATTCTATGCCTCTATGTCCCAGCTACCAAGGAAATGCATTATACAACCAACCAAGGTGTGTATACAAAACCCTGCTTTAGTTCAGACAAATTTTGGGGCAGGATGGTGTTAGGCAGAAAGTCACCTATGTAGCACTGTGCCAATCAATGTCAATGCTTAGAGATGGGTAGGTATATTTCTCATCACAATTCGAGGGTCCCACTTTGCACATGCCAGTGCATTCTGGATCCAAGTGTGGGGGTATCAGAATTTCCCAGGGGATACCAGCTCCTTTTACAAGAGATTTATTTCAGTGCCTCACATGGCAAGAGCCAGTGGATGGGCCTGATGGGAGGTAATGGCCTAACTGCTCTCAGGGGAAGGAGAGTCATTGGACGATGGTGACTGAGCTGGTGTCAGAAGTTCCTAATGTGCTGTTTCCCAGGCCAACCAAAATGAAATGAAAACCCCACAGGTCTTCTTCATGTACTGCTTCTTTTGCCATTCATTTCAGTATAAGATTTTTATCTACGATGGTAACAATACTCTTTGTGTCACTTACAGCAGAATCCACTTAATCAACACCTAAACAAATGGGCCATCCTTCATTCAGAGCCAGAGCCTACACTTCAAACAGGGGCAAAATTGCCCCTGACTCTAGCAACCTTCCCTGGGCTGGGTGCCAGAGAACAGACTTGGCACAGAGCACTTGGGGGAAGCTAAACCCTAGATGAATGGCCCACCTGGGCTCCATTCTCAGGGAGACTGCCTACATGCACCAGCTAAATTTATTGGCCTGTTTTACTGTGCCAAAGCCACCTGCAAGCAGATGTGCCCCCAAGATTTAGTGGGGGTCTCTGGGGAGGCTGGGCGGAAATGGGGTACAGGGACTACCTGCAGCTCACTGAGTAGATACAGGCTAGAGTTTGTGTACCTGAATGCTAGGAGTTACCCCACTTACCTTCCTGTCACTGGAGGTAGCTTAGAGTCAACAACAACAACAAATATTTATTTATTAACAATTTAAGACAGCATGTCCTCAGCTCGTCTCTGCCTACTGAAATCCTATGCATAGTTTAAAGCCTAGCTTAAATGATACCTCCTCCGGGAAGCCTTCCCTGAAAGTTCATAAAATAATTAGCCAATTTACAGTCTCAGAACTGAAAGGGAATAATTTTACAGATGAGACCACAGAGGTTTCAGGAGCACAAGATCACTGAGTTAGAGTTAAAAGAGACCTCAGAGGCCATCTAACCCCCTCATTTTAGAAGGCAGGGAATGGAGCCCCAAAGAGGTTAAGTGACTTATGATGACATCTGTAAAGCATTTAGCACGGTGCCTGGCACACAGGAGGTGCTAGAGAAATCTTTATTCCCTTCCCCTTGCCCAAGGTCACACAGAATCCTAGATGGCATGGCTGGGATCTGAAACTGGTCTTCTAAGTAAAATTTCAGCGATTTTTCCCCTACACCATGCCACCTGTGATCTCTTCTCATGTCAAACACCTTCGCTTGTACTACTCTGATAGTCAAGTTACCAAGCATTTGTTATGCACCAACTGTATGCCAGTGCTGGAGATACAAAAAAGGGCCAAAAAAACCAGTTCCTGTATAAGTCTTTATTTTTATAAGTCTTATCATACTAGTCTTATGTCTTATACTCATCATGCCTTATTTTCATATTATAAATATCTCTGCGTGTGGCTTATTTTCCACTGGAAATAATAAGTTCCATGAGGGTGATGACTATATCTAATTTAATCTGAATGTCTCCCCCATATTGCTCTGTTCCCAAAAGGTAATTAATAAATGTTAGTTGAGTTGAATTAAGCACCTACTATATTCAAAGCATTGTGTTGGGGCAATACAATGAATGAATGGTAAGGAAATGAACTCACAGAGCATTGGCTGCTCGTTCAAGATAATCCAAATTCCTCAGCATGTTATTCAAGGCCCTCCTGAAATACAGTCATAGCCTACCTTGCCAGCCTTATCTTCCTCTTCATAGACTTTATGTACCATCTAAAATAGACCAACTTTCCCTTACCCTCCCCTGCTCTCCACCTCCAAAATGACCTCTGCTTTCCTTCCTCAGCAGGGCCTTTTTTCACAATATTCAGTCTCTCTATGCCCAGAATGTCTTCTACCCCATCCAAACCTCTTCCCCTTCTCTGCCTATTAACATCCTACCTGCCTGTCAAAGCCCAAATCAAAAGGCACCTCTTCCAGGAAACCTTCCACGATTCCCTGAGCTGAAAGCAGTGTTTCTCATTTTGTTTAATAGCATGTTTCACTTTTTACATCCAAATTTATGCTTTCTTTATCTGTGCCCGTCTAATTATCTCTACTAAATTTTATAAACTACATGACAGTCCTGTCTCAGTCTCTTTATATTTCCCTTACTGCCCAGCATAGAGCATTAAGTCGATACTAAATGTTTGCTGAATAACTGAATCTGCAGTCCTCAGAATCATAGAATCCTAGAGCTGGAAGGGCCTTCCAAAGTCACCTCCTCCAGGAGCATTGGTCTACACCCAAGATGATGTCTGAGATCTCTGCCAGCAGCTCCAAATTCCACAATGCTAAGTGCTACAAGAGTTTCAGAGGACAGCAAGATCACTTTCAGTCATGGTGCTCAAAAGAAGGCTTCAGAGATGGCATTTGGGATGAATGTTTGGTGAGTTTTCAAATGATCCCTGAGATAAAAATGTAGCTCTCTCCGGCAGCACCATGGATTCCCACTGGCCTCTGGGATTTAGGACAAGTGCTTAATCGGCATTTCTCTTCAGGGCTCTGCCAGCATTCACAGTTCTCCTACTCAGATGATGCAGCAGCAGCTGTGGAAATATATTGTCTTGGGGGTCCTTGCTCCAGCCCGCCCTTCTGCCCCACTCCTGACCCCAAATATCTGTCTTTGTTTACCTTTGGGCTCTAACCCATTGGAGTTAAAGTGCATCCTCTTTTGACATTCTGTGCAGCTCATCAGGAACCGGGTCACAGCTTCCCTTGGGAGAAAAGCGTAGGTTTCTGCAATCTAGGGAAAGAGACAGAAGTCTAATTATCTCCGGGCTCCTGGTCTCTGGCCGCTAGGTAAGGTGATCAAGGAATAGCCTGCCTTGCTCACAGGTGCTGTGACTCTATTTCCCTGCACAACTGTACCATCAGGCAGTGAAAGGAGCACTGGGACAGGAGTCAGGAGACCTGGGTTTGATTTGGGCTCATAGAATGGTAGAGAAAGGAGGGAGCTTAGAGACACTTACTAGCTGTGTAACCCTGGGGAAGTCTTTTAACCTCTCTGTGCCTCAGTTTCTTCATCTGTAAAATATACCATGGGTTGTTGTAAGGATAAAATGAAATATTTGTGAAGTGCTTCGCAAACCTTAAGACTCTATTTAAATGCTATCACCCTCATCATTGTTGTTATTGTTATTTCTTATATACCACGAGATTTCTCTGGCAATTATTAGCTTTGTTATCTTCACTTAACCCGATCTGAGCCTCAGTTCATCTGAAAATGGCAATAACAACACTTCCACCAGCCACCTCACAAAATCCAGTGTGGGGAAAGTACTCCATGTAAACCTCAACTGTGAGGTTCACATGACACAAACGTGAGTAACATTTTACTCTGTTTCTCATGAGAAAAGCAGGGATAAGTAAGAGCAAGGAGCTATCTGGGACCGAGAGCCAAAGTCAGGGATTCCTTAATTCCCAGGGACTGAAATCATTCAAGATGTTTTCTGAGGATTAGTTCTTTCTGTCAGAGGATGTATGTAACCGAAAAGCAGGCCTGTTAGATAAGGCTGTTTCTTATTTTGGTAATCATTTATAGTCTTTTGTTATAGGTTCTGTTTTAGAGATAGGCCAAGTAAGCTGTTAAGGAGAACTGACTCTCAGGATTATACTGTGAGCTAAGCTAGTTCTAGCATCTTCTTTTAATTGCAAAAATAGCCTGCTACTGGCTACTAAAGGCAGCTCATAGGTGCTCAGAGGCAGCCCAGTGGATTTCTCATCACAACCAGTGGGTCCCTCCCAGAAATAGAATTCAAGGGTCTAACTGCCAATTTTCTGTTCCCACCTTGGAATGAGTCAAAGACAGGAGAACAGAACCATGGAATGTTAGAACCAGGAGGGACCTTAGAACATAGCATGTTGGGCCTGGCATGACCCTCAAAATACCAAATGCTAGAGCTGACAAGGGACCTTGGCACATAGGTGGTCAGAGCTAGTGTGGGCTTTAGAATTTAGAATATGAAATGACAGGACTGGAAGGAGACCAGGGGGTCTGTGAACTTGTGATATTTAGATAACTGTATTTTAATAGAATTACCTTCCTTTGCTATCCTACATATTTTATTTTATTCATTTAAGTCCATCCATGATTATCCCTTACACAGATTAATCTTTACCAAGTTTGTCATTGGGTATAGAAATGGAAAAAATGTGGGGAAAGAAGTTAAAGAAAAAAAAGAAAAGAAGTAAATGGGACACAATGAGGAATAGGAGAGCGTCCCTGTTCTCCCCAAATCCCTGCAGACACTATTTCCCCCTATCATTTGCCCAATCTGCTCTAACAATCAAGCATTTTCTCTTTTGGATTCACATAAAAATTAAAGAAAAGTTAAAACAAATGTAATCCTCTTCCTTTCATTGCCCAAGGCAGTTGAAAGGGTCTAGACAGGTTTTAGGCTTAAAACAATCCTAAGATTTTTGGGGACATCCTGGATTAAACCAAAAATCCTTTCCAAAAGGAACACCACAGTTTAAGAGAAACAGTCATAGAGACTTGGACGCTCTCTCTAGTCTCCTTAACTCAGTGTGATCTTGAATGAGTCATTTCTCTGAGTCCCGGTTTCCACCACTGTAAAATGAGGAATTTGGAGCAGACAACCTCTGAAGGTCCTTTCCTGACATTGTGTGTTCTAAGGTCCCCTTCCAGGTCAGACCATCTATGTTCTATACTCTAAGATCCCTTCTAGCTCTGATAGTCTGTGCTTTAATGTTCCCATTGAACTTTATTCAATGTCCTAAAGTCTAAGGTCTCTGACAACTCTGGTGTTCTATGTTCTAAAACTGCTGTTCTTAACCTCTTTTTGGTGTAACATGGACTCCTTTGACAGTATGGTGAAGCCTATGGACTCATTCTTAGAATAATGTTTTTAAGTAATTGAAGAAAATGCTCAATTTTACATAGAGGTTAATAAAAAAAATATGTAATTTTTCCTCTCCGAGTTCATGCACCCCCTGAAATCAATCCACGGACCATGGGTGAGGAGTGGGGAATGAGACCATGTACCCCAGCTTAAACACCCCTATTCTAAGGTTTCTTCCTGCTCTGACATTCTACATTCCCAGGTCCATTCCCACTCTGATATTCTATGACTAGTGAAATTTCTCAAAGCATGAGTGGATGCTCACATTTATCTCCACTAAGTGGCAGCATAACCCCAGTTTATAGGTCTTTTAATCACAGCCAGAGAAAGTTCAAAGCCTTGTCCCAAAGCCTCAAAAAGGAAAATGGGGCTCTCTACAGAGCCTCTCCCTCTGGGGACTCTCCCCTGCAGATGAGACCCATCAGCTCAAACTGTCTGTCTCCTCTCTCTCTTGGCTCCATATTGGTTATAGCTGAGCAAACTCCCTGCTCGATTTCCTGCACTCAAGGTGTCTATAAGACATTTGTCATCGTCTCACCATCAGGGACTCCCTGCAGAAGGGCCCGTGATGAGACCCTGGGATGGTCCCAAAGCTGCCCTTGGCAACCTGCCCACCCTTTTCTCTTTCTTCTGTGATAGCACTACCCCCAGCCCAGCTCTGCTCAGACCATTCAGTTAATTTGGGTGGTCCCATTGTTATTTCTCAGCTGATTTGATGCTCTGCAGAGCGGCCAGTCTTGATGAGTTATCTCCCTTCCAAACTGTCTGTCTGATTAGGTCTCTCTAGAGGTCTTGGACAAGGGCAAACTCTCCAGTGACTCTGATTAGAGCAGGTGGATGGAGAAAGCCAGAGAGTCAGGGATTGGGAAGACACCCGGGAATTTCTGGAAACCCCAATGCAGCCTTCCTCCCGTATTAACACTAAGCCAGGGGAACCAACACCATGTCTGATGGACACATCTCATCTCTACCCCTGTGTCTGACTGAGAACAAATTCCAGGCCAGTGTGCCAGGGGCAGACGGTCGGTTGGGCACAGCCCTGCGGGGTCAGAAGGGAATACACTCGGCTAATGTGATGATCTCAGCTCAGGAGGAGCTCGGAGGGGTGGGGCACCGGGGAAAGCCAGTGCAGTTAGCAGGCCTGGGAAAAGAGACGATCCAGCCTGTTCCCCTGAGGCAGTGCAACCCACAGATTAGTCCTCAGAAGAGGGGCATTGAAGGAATTAGGGGAGGGGCAGAGCAGCTGTCTGCTTAGGAAATGAGTGGAAAGTTTCTAAATCATGGTCACCCTGATGAAGATGTCCTTCTTACTCACAGAGAGGTTGCCTCCCCATCCGTGCAAGAAAAAAAAATCATGTATGGCCTCCTTAACCAGGCCGCTTCTATGTAGGGGACATAAGATCTTATAAATGTCTCTGGGACTCACAGCTGGAAAAGACCTCAGAGGTCATCTGGTCCAATGCCTTCACTGAAAAGAAGACTAGAAGGGTGAGGTAACTTGCCCAAGGTCAAACATTTAGTAAATTTCAAATGAAACTCACAGCCTCTGATTCTAAATTAGTTTGGAACCCACACTACCTGTTACAGCTAGAAAAGACCTTTAAAGGCCATCTAGTATAACCCTCTCATTTTATAGATGAGGAAATCAGGTCCCAAAGAAGTTAAATGATCTGTTCAAGACCACAGAGCTAGTAAGTAGTTCAGATGGAATTGCAACCCAGGTCCTCCCTCCAACTTCAAATCTAATGATGTTTCCACTCCACCACCTTTGTTTTGCTGGGGGGGGCAGGGGGGGCGGGGGGTAGAGTTGGCCAAGAGGAGGTCACCAACACTTTCCAGACAGAGACAGGTCCCCACCAAGGCTAGGAGTGGTGTCAATAGCCTTTCTAGCCCACTGGGAGGACGTGAGCCAGAGGACAAAGCAGTGCCAGCATGCTGCAGGAAGAAGCATGCCTTCTGGCTGCCTGCCCCACCGTGGGGACACAAGTCATGTGCAAACGGCCGGCAAGGCCCCCTGAGCCACTGAAGGGACACAAGGACAGGGGCCCTAGCCCAGCCCTACAGAGCAAAGGCTGCCCTGTGGGAAACAAAGAAATTCAGACCCCACCTGAGAATCAGGGAAGTCTCTAAAACTGTGACAAGCTGAAGGCCCCCCCCACCCCCGCAACCCCCTTCATTTACGTGTTTATCCAGAATCTTTCTCCTGAGAAGGGCATTAGAAAGTAGGGGAAAGACCACTGGATTTTAGACTCAGAAGACTTAGATCTGTGCCCTCCCTCAGCTACCTCCTACTTGTATGACCTCAGGCAAATCACTCAATCTCTCTGGGGGGTTCTTATGTTCTTAAAATATATATAAGGAATGCATATGTATATATATGAAACAAGAGGACTGGATCCCTAGGATTTCTCTCCCAGTTCTCAATTCTAGGATCCTATGTATGTTTTCCTGCAAAAATATCATTCTTCATCACATTTTTTTTTTTTAGGCAATCAGGATTAAGTGACTTGCCCAGGGTAGTACATATCTGAGGCCACACTGAACTCAGGTCCTTCTGACTCTAGGCTCTATCCCCTAAACCACGTAGCTGCCCTACTACATTTCTTTAAAACACTAGAAGTAGGTTTACTATTTCTGTTTTACAGCTAAGACAAATGAGGAATAAGGATAATTTTTTTTCCTTAAAGATTTGACAGGGAATTTGTGGCAGAGGAAAGGGAAGAAATCCAAGTCTTCTGATTCTCAGTTTGAGGTTATATACAACCTGGCATCTAGTACTCCCTTAATATACATGCTTATTGAGTTAAGTTGAATATGTCTAAAACATCAGTGTAAGAAAGGACTTAAGGGAGTGGAAAGAATGCTGAGTTTGGAGTCAGGAGAACTGGGTTCAGATCTTGTTTCTGACAAGCTTTACATGAAATTGTAGGCAAATCAGTTTCCTAATCTGCAAAATGGGAACAATAATACCAATGTTACCCATACCTCTCAGAATTGTTGTGCGGCAAGGGCTCTGTCAACAAAATGCTAAGTAAATCTGAGTTATTACTATTACAGAGGGGGAAACCAAGGCCCAGAGAAGTAAACCAACCCCCTGGGTCATACAAGTTAGTAAGAGGCAGGGACTCAAACTCCTGTCTCCTAATTCAAAGCCTACTGTTCTTTTCTACTATACACTGCTGCCTCTCATCTCCTGACTTCCTTACCACTCCCCCTCTCTCCCACTCCCACCCCCGAATTTGTCTTTCACATTGGTTTGTTTTATTAGAATCTGAAATTAATTTTACAGTTCTTCTGTGTTGGCCAGGATCCTATTTGTAAGATTGTGGGGTGTTAAGATTTGGGACTGGAGATTTGGGACCTAATCTAACCCCTTCATCTTACAGATCATGAAAGTAAGGCCCAGTAGATTCCTCTCTTTCCTCCAGGTTCTACCAGATGAAATTACAAGGGCAATGCAGAGATTTCTTGCAAATGGCCACAGGCTGCCTGTAAGCACCCCTGGCCTGACCTGAATGGTAGATGATGATGCCCCAGGAGCCCTAGAAGCTCTGATGTTACCTCAGAGGCTTAGCTTTGGGGCTGGGCAATGTCACCACCCAGCAATACCCAGGAGTAGAACAGACAAAAACAGGTTTACGCCCAACCCTTGCTGAAAAATAAAAGCTCTAAGATACTTTCCAACCTTCACATTCTATGTTCTAAGGGACCCTCCAACCTTCACATTCTATGTTCTAAGGACCCTTCCACGAATAACATTATATGATGCTAGGTTTAATTTGTAATCTCTTTTAAAGAGATCATAGTATTTAGAGCTAGAAGGGATTGGAGGAGATTGAGTTTAGAGCTCAGGGTTCGAAGGGACCTTAGGAAGAATGTAGTTCCAAATCCTGAATTTTACAGAAGAGGAAATAGAAGCCAAGAGAAAGAGAGCTGCTTGCTCCAAATTCCACAGCTAATTAAATTGTAGGACAGATTTGAACCCAGGTTTTCTGAATCCTAGACCTAGCTCTTGCCATTACACCATGAAGAGATCAGTTGAGACACCAGTACTTATCTTGATTGGTATGCTTAGGGAGTTGGGATTTGGTTGAATTTATTGATGTAGGTGAAATTGTGAACATACTGGGGGGGGGGAGAGAAAAAAAAGCAGACCCATAGGCCTATTAAATAGCTTGAGTGAGTGAAGTGTGACAGGTGGAGAGGAGAGAAAAAAGAGAGCAGAGTAGTTAAGAAAACAACGTGCTCCACTGAGCATCATTCAGGCTGACGTGATATGGAAGGCCCGGGCCCCACATAGAGCTCAGCCTTGGCATTGTTGCTGAAATTCCAACTCTCTGTGCAACCCAGTTGGACCCTTGCCAGTCATGTGCCAGATCTAGGTAGGACAATAGGAAGTAGAGCATGTGGGAAGACATATGGAGGATAGGTCCCCAAAAATGTAGAATCAAGGACAAGAGAGTGGCTAGACCTAAAGGCAGTTCAGTGTATTGGGGGAAAAAACCTTTAATTTGAAATGAGAAGACCTAGGTTGAAATCTCAGTTCTGTTAGGTGCTGCCATATAACCTCCCCTGCATTTCAGCTTCCTCTTCTGTAAAATGAGGGGTTTGGACTAGATGACTCCAAGATCCCTTCCAATTCTACAATCCTACAATCGTTTTATTCTAGCTGTTATATGCCATGGGATAGTGGAAAGGGCGCTGGACCAGACGGAGAAACCTAGGTTCAAATCATGGTTCTGCTGCTCACTAGCAGTTGTGATACAAGCTTCGGCACTATAAACCAATCCTCTCATCTGTAAAACAGCATTCATAGTATTTATACTACCTATCACTCCCAAGGTGATAGTGAGGAAAGCATTGAATTTACTTAAACATGATATATGTGTGAGCTATTAGCAGCAGCAGCAGCAACAAAGGGATAAACAAGGGTTAGACTAGAGATGACCACCTCTTGATATCAATCAGTTTGTTCCTGAATCCAAACTGCCCTGGATGGTCCAGGCTGAACCTGGGTACAAGTTCCAGCCCATAAGCACCATGAACAAAGAGGGAGAAGACTGAAACCTTCAGGGGGGGAATAGAGCACCTTCTGAGTGCTAGGCACCAAAGGGCATACAAAATATAGTGACAGCACACTATTGTAAGGAAAACTGTCCTAAGGGCTAGTAGTTGAATGAGCTTCCTGAAGGGGCTAGAACCGGGTTCTCCCTTCACTAGAGGTCTTTAGGCAGTTGTTGTAAATGTTGTAGGAGGTATAGTTTTTCTTACATGGCTTGGATTTGGTGACCACTGACAAACTCCAAAATGCTATAATTCTGTGACACCTATAGATAATTCCCAATAATTATCAAAGCAGTTCACATTCCTATGGTACTTTCCCTACAATAACTCCCCCGGAGTAGGTAATGCAAGTATTTCATCTCCATTTTACAGATGACAAAACTGAGGCTTGAAGAGGTGACATCACTCAGCACAAGTCATGAGATAAGAAAATAGCAGAGCCAGGATTTGAACTCAGAGCTTCCAAATCTAAGTTCAGAACTCTTTGAGATGTGGTCCTGTTAATCCAAATCAGACAACAAAAATGGCTAATATTTATATAATAATTTAAGGTTTGCAAAGTACTTTTCATACACACACACACACATAATATATCAAATCATTATTAGCCCAATTCATTATTATCCTCATTTTACAGGTAAGGAAACAAAGGCTGAGAAGTTAAGTAATTTGTCCAGGGCCATATAGCTAGTAAGAGCCAAGCAAGATTTAATTTTAGATCATCTTGATTCCAGGTCTAGCATTCTACCTACTTCCAAGGTACCTCTGAATTCACAAGACCATCAGACCTGTCAGTAGGCTGAGTGGGGGAAAATTTAGGATGACCTTCCAAAAACCACTTGACCACAAAAATTCTATTTAGCCTATAAAATACATGTTAGCTCTGCCCACACTTACCAATGTCAACCCCCTGACCTCCTTTTACTACTACCTATGGGCTAAGCATATCTGTCTGACTTTGATAATAATGATCATTTGAATTCTTTCTACAAATACTAGCCAAAAAGGGAAGGGACAAATATAACCATTTCCCCATGGATTTCTGCCTAGAATCAAAAATCCTGGGTCCAAGTCCCACATCCATCATTAACTTGCTATGTGATCACTGGCAAGTAACCCCCAAGGCTGTCAGTTTCCTCGTCTGTAAAGCGAGGGGTTTGCGTTCTGAACCAGATGATCTCTAAGCTCTTTTCTGGGTCCTATCTGCCAAGGTTCCTTCTAGCTCCCACATTCTAAGGTCTATATGCTAAGGCCTCTTCTTGCTCAGATTCTCTATGTTCTAATAGTCTCTGGTCCCATGATTCTCATCAAGCTTTCCCTGGGTTTCTCAGGACCTTGCATATAGGCTGGGGTCTATTTTCATGAATGATTTAGGCCAAAGTTCATCTCCTAAGAAGAGAAATAAGCTAAAAAGTATGTGGATAAAAGGAATCAGGTCACAAAGGGGAAATGGTCACCTTTAAGAGTGAATTCAACCTATACAATATTGTTCTGGTGCTGTTCACAGAATGAACTCTAGGAAGTCCTGAAGCACCAAAAGTGGCAGAATTGAATTCACAATTTGGCAGGGCTTAGCCAAGGATGCACAGTTCATCCGTATTTCAGAAATCTGTCCCATCTAAGGGAAGACTCTCTTTCTTCTAGGGCAATAGCAGGAGGACAACCATATGCCCTGCACTGTGCCAAATCCACACTGACATAGGTGCTGGCTTCAGAGTAACCCAACAAAACTGGTAACCCTTGATTTTTTTTGACAGGAGATGAAAGGGAATCCAAGGACGTGGAACTTTCCAATGGCTCGGATTGGACGTCCCATTCTAGCCAGGTTGGTTCCTGGCAATCTCATTCTCAACACTATAGCTTCATTCACATTGTTCTTCATCACAAAACTAACTCACATTTGTATAGCACATTGCAGTTTCGATGTGCTTTGCATCTATTGAGCAATCTGAAACCCTCATGAAGTTTGCACAGCAAGTTTGATTATCCCCAATTTATAAATGCTGTGACGGAAGCTCAGAAAAGACTTACCCAAGCTTGCACAGCAATTAAATGACAGAGCCAGGATTTTAACCCAGATTTTCTGACCCTGCACCTATCTGACCTCCCATGATCCCTCACCAAAAATCAGCTACCATCTTCATAATACAATCCTATCTGCCCTTTCAGCTTCAACCGAAGCCCCACTTCCTCCATGAAGTCTTCCCTGACTACTTCAGCCCTCCCTGGCCTCCCTCTCTGAAATCTTCCACCACTAATAACTTATGCCAATCAATTTAGCGTAATGTTTTATACTGCTTGCTGTTGTTTGGTGTATACTTGTCTCTCCAAATAAACTGAGTTTGAGGGCTTCTCTTACCCCTGTAGTGCCTAGAAGAGTGCTGGGCATAGCATCTGCAGAGTATGCTGACCTAGGAAGATATATATGAGGCCTTGGTGACTTGAGGTATTTTTCCTCCACTGTATCAATCACTACGAATTGTGGAGTTTAGTGTCTAACCCAGAAGAGAGATGATTTGAATGAGGGGGAAAGTAATGGCAGTGTATAGCCTTGGAGGTCATTTGGTTCTCCTTTCATAGACAACACTGAGGCCAAGACAGGGGAACTAAATAGCCCAATACCACACTGATACTGAGTAGCCGAAAGGGCAGTGTGGTTCAATGGCAAGGATATTGAGGACCTGCGTTCAAATCCTACCACTGTCATTTACCTCCATGACCCTGGACCAGTCATAAACCTCTCTGGAGCCTCAATTCCCTCATTTATAAAATGAAGGAATTAGACTAAATGGTGTCTACAGACACTTCTAATTCTAAGTCTATGAGTCTCAACTGCCCAGAACAGATAGAATTTTCTCAATCCTCATTTTATAGAGGAGGAAACTGAGGCTCAGAAAGGGAAAGTAAATTGCCCAAGGTCACACAGGTCATAAACGGCTCAGCTTGGATTATCCTGACCTTCATTTTTTAGAAGAAAAAATGGAGGTTTCTCTCCCAAAAGGAGGAGTGACATGCCCTGGGTCACACACCAAGCCAGTCCGGTGATCTCCCCAGTGTTTAGACCACAGTTTCTATTCCCATCCCCCTCCCATTTTTTGAGCCTCCTGATGCCCTCTGTGCCCTTGCCCACATGCTCCCTGTTCTGCTGAGGGGCCATCTCATTCTGCAGCAGATCCCTCCTGCCCGGGGCCAAGTCTGTGGCCTGAAGCTTTGAGAGAAGGCAAGGAAGCAAAATCTCACCGCTCGGTAGGTTTTCTTCTGCCCAGCATGCTTGGGGGTTTTGCCTGGCTCTGCAGAGCTCTCCACATGCATGGAATAGATGATGTCAAAGAAATCTTCCACCACAGCTACCCGTTTCAGAGAGATGCCCTCAGGCTCCGACAGTCCATCTGCCCCCTACAACAGTGTGGGCAAGCTGAGTTAGTATCAGGGATGGGTGACAAGGGTGATGAGATGGGCCTGAGGCTATTAAGGTTGGAGGGAGGGACAGGCATAGTTCTCCAGCCCTGAAATGCCTTGAAGAATGGGGTCTAGGGGGCAGAAAAAGGAAGGGGGAAGTGCAGTGAGGGGTATAAATTAAACACTGCTCCAGGGAGACTGATATCAGAGCTAGGGTGGCTGCAGCTGCTGATAGTAAAGTCTACCAGCAACAATGGGCCTGGAAAAACAGGACAGGGACAGATTCTGGGCCCCAAATTTAAGGAATGACATTTTCCATGATTTAAGACATATTGTGCCAGACTTAGTGGAGGGGGTTTGAGGAGGAAGAGAGGAGGAAGGGCGGGGGAAAGAGAGATGGGTCTGGAGTTGCATACTGTGCCAAGACCATCCCAGAAGTCCCTAGGGGACTGAGGTAGGGAAAAGGAGGGAGAGGTGGTTGGAAGGATGCAACCCCACCAGGCTCATGCCAATTAGTAGGAACCTTTTACAGCAGTCCCAGGATGGGGGCCCTAGGGAAAGGAGCTCAAATCACCTGGGTGCCTCCTCATCTCTCTCCACACTGGCCTTTCTGAAAAGCTACCTCCACAATCTCACTTGCCCAACCCTCTTACCCAGCCCCCCCCCCCCCACCAAAGCAGCTGAATGCCAGCAGCCTCACCAGGGGTCTTTGTGTGTGAAGATGTAGGTAATAACAGCCTGTTATTAGGCCACGTGGGGGGGGGGGAGGGATGGGGAAAGCACGGCCACTAAGCGCTTCTTATCAGGATCATTCTTGTGGTGTCAGCTGGTACTGGCAAGGTGTGCCAAGATAGAGAGGGCATCCTTCAATACCAAGGCTCCCTCCTCACATAAAATCAGAACTTTGAGGATGGTTGGGGACTGAGAAACGCAAAAGAAATTGATCTGTGGCGGATGGGGCCAAAATCCAGGAAGGAATAGCTCCTTTGCAGGAGGTAAAACCAGTTACTTAAACTATATTCATAAATGATACAGTAAACATATATAGGTCACACATGTATACACACACAGGCACAGACACATAGGTATTTGTAACACGTGCACAGGTACACATCATCCCTGTCTTCCTCCCCAGGAAACCTTCAGAGTGGGTCTGCCATGGGTAAGTGGGTCTGGGAGAAAAGTGGAAAGGGTTCAAACTGGAGAGGACTTGGGAAAGAAGAGAGAAAAAAAAAGTAGGTTTTCTAATTATATCAAAAAGTGAAAATCTCTTAGATGATTTTTGTTCAGAGCAACTCTATAAATGATGATGACGTTGCTAATAATAACATTAACTTTCATAGATAAAGACACATAGATACAGATCACTTTCATGTTCATTCGCTCCATGAGGGAGGGAGGCCAGTCAGGTGTGATTATACCCATTGTACAGATGAAGACTCTAAGGTGCAAAGAATCAGGTTTTCTGATTCTCAGGCTAGTGCTCTTTCCACAACCCCATTATGTTGTCACAGGGCACTCATTTAAAACAAAACTTAGATTTTATTTTTAAAATATGGCCCTCCCCCACTAGCTCATGTTTATAGCGTTTATTCTTTGCAAGAACCATGTAAGGATTATTATTCCCACTTTACAGATGCATAGGCTCTCTGAAGGTCACAGTTAATGTGATAGTATGGATTTGAACCCAAGTGTCTCTGGCTCTATACCCAAGCCTTTCTCCCTCATACCATGCTGCCCTTCTATGGAAAGAAAGCATAGAACAGGACTGGAAGGAACCTTGGAGATCATTTAATCTAAAACCCTCATTTAACAGATGAAGAAACTGAGCCCTATAGAAGGGAAATACTTGCCCCACATCACATTTAGGATAAAACTAGTAAGTGACAGGGCTAAGGGGCAGCTAGGTGGCACAGTGGATAGAGCTCCAGCCTTGGAGTCAAGAGGTTGAGTTCAAATCTGGCCTCAGACACATGACGCTTACTAGCTGTGTGACCCTGGGCAAGTCACTTAACCCTGATTGCCTCACCCCCCCCCAAAAAAAAGCAAAAATAAATAAATATAGGGCAGATAGGTGGCGCAGTGGATAGAGCACTGGCCCTGAAGTCAGGAGGACCTGAGTTCAAATCCAGCCTCAGACCAAACACTTGACACTTACTAGCTGTGTGACCCTGGGCAAGTCACTTAACCCCAATTGCCTAAAAAAAAAAAGTGACAGGGCTAGAATTCAAACTGGATGATAGAGGTCACCAAGACAGTGGAAAGAGTACCAGCTATGGAGTCACAGAACTTGGGTCCAAATTATCCCGGTCACACTTACACCCTTTGTGATTTTGGACAATTCAAGTTATTTCCCTATGCCTGTTTCCTCATCTAAGAATGAAGGCTCTTTAAAACAAAAAAAAGATCCCAGATCCAAAGCTAGAAAGGAACTCAGAGACTGTCTGGTGTAGTCCAACCGTACTATCATTTTACAGACGAGGAATCTGAAGACCACAGGTAAGAGGAGTGTCTTCCCCAAGGTCACACAGTTAACGCCAAAGGTAGGATTTGAACCCAGATCCCCTGATTCCACAGTCAATACTCTTTCCAATGTACTGTGCTGTCTTCCCTAGGGTTTGACTTGAGAGCCTCTGAGGTCCCTTGTAAGTCTGGAGCTCTGATTTTGTAATCCTCAGCACCTAGGAGAGAAACGATGTGGCCAAAGTAGGGTGAAAGGAGCTCGCAGCTGAACATCTTGGACCTAGAGCAGGGCTCTCTGAACTGCATGGTGTGCACAGCCCATATTCAGACAGGGACCCACCATCCCACAGTCTCTCCAGCAGTGTAGGTACCTCCCATTTGAATCTGGCCCCAATTCAAAGACTAGGCACTGAACAGCATTTAGCTTATGCACATGAAATCACAGAATCTATCTTTAGAGGAGCAACAACTTTTGTTGTTGTTCAGTCATTTAGCAGACATGTCTGACTCTTCGTGACCGCATTTGGGGTTTTCTTGACAAAGATATAGAGTGGTTTGCCATTTCCTTCTCCAGCTCATTTTACAGTTGAGGAAACTGAGGTAAACAGAGTGAAGTGACTTGCCCAGGGTCACCCAGCTAATAAGTGTCTGAAGCCAGATTTGAACTCAGGAAGATGAGTTTTTTTGACCCCAGGCCTGACTCTCTATCCATTGAACCACCTAGCTGTCCCATTGAAACGACAGTGCTATTGTGGAGAAAGTACTGGAGGCCTGGATTCTAGTCCTGATTCCATCACTTACTAGCTGGGGGACCTGGAGCAATCACTTGACTCCTCCGGCCTTCAGTTTCCTCATTTGCACAATGGCAATGTTTTACACTGCCTGCCTCCAAGGAATATTATGAGGATCAGACAAGATGATGTGAAAAAGCACCTGCAAACACAAGCACAGATGTGAATTATTATTAGTAATAAGCTCTTCTTATTCCAGTTGTATACCATGGACGTCACATATCTTTGAACAGATTTTCACAAAACTGATCTGTGCCCTATCATCCCAGTGAAAACATTCAAATGCTATGCTTGTCTAACAGTTTACACCACCCCCCAAGACACTACTAACTTTCATTTTTTCTAAGCCTAAATTTCTTCCTCTAGTAAATGAGGAGGTTGGAATGGGATGGTCTCTAAAGTCCCCTCCAAGTCTAACCCTATTATCGTTTCTAGGCAAGAGCATGGTAGTGTGATGGTGAGAGGCTACAGAGTATGGTAAGCAGAAGCCTAGGCTGAGAGAAAAGAGCCCTTACAGGGTATGGTGAGAGGAAGCCTGGGCTGGGAGAGAAGAACCCTTGGAGTCCTCACTGTGCTACTAACCTGCTACATGGCATTGAACAAGTCATTTCCCCTCTATGAGGGGAAGTAAAGAAAAGTGTTGGACATCAGAAGGTCATGAATGTCCCTTCCAGCTCTAGCATTCTATTAGTCTATGAGAAACCCAAAGCTCTGCAGCTGGCCTCAAAGGCTAGCAAATTTAATGCTGGAAAAACATTTGGTGGAATGATTTCCAGTGGGGCCCTCATTAACAATATGATCTCTATTTCCTTGAAGTTCAAACTTAGGATCCTATCTGTCATCAGCCAATCTCAACTGCCAAGATGCTGCACAGGAAAGGAGATGACCGCCTGTGGTAACCAAACCATGCAGGGGCTACAAGACCAACACCTTAAATTGTCTTCCAACAGAGCTGGCACCAAGGTTATGCAGTTGCTACAGTGCATTTGGGGACCATGATTTTTGAACCCTAAATTGGGACCTCTGTTTGGAAAGAGGACATTTCTTTTAAAATGTCTTGTGAAAAGCATACTTTCATTTCTTGAAATCAGGACAGTCCCAAGAAATCTAGGATGGTTAGATGGTGTCCACAAATATGCCCTATGTAGTCACAGTTGAAAGACGAGAGTACTATGTTGGGTAAGATTTTGGGTGGTCTCCAAGGAACAGAAGAAGCAACAGATGTAACAGAAAGAGAATCAAACAGGGTCAGGAGGCCTGGTTTTCCAGTCCCGACTGTGTGTGTGTGATGGTGGGGGTGGGGGGAACTCAGGGCAAGTCCCCTCGCCTCTCTGGACTTCTGTTCCCTCCTGAAGGGATTTGGACCAGCTGATCTGCAAATACCAAAGCACAGGATGATGGGATTTAGAGCTGGGAGGCACCTTAGAAGTCCTACAATCCAACCTGAGACTCAGAGGGGCAAACTGATTTGCCCAAGACAGTGAAGTAATAAGTATCAGAATCAGCATTCAAACCCATGTCCTTCTAACTCCAAATTCAGTGTCCTTGCCACTATAAAAATCTGAAATCTCTAATGTTCCTTTCACCTCTAATGTCCCATGGCAACACAGTCAACTCTATGGAATTCAAGGAACAAGTCACAAGACAGCAATACCTTTGGCAAAAGCTGAATCTAAAGAGAAGATAATCATCTTCATTCTAATGAGGCTGGAAATACTTATCACTACCAGTAGCTGCAAACAGTCACAACCCCTGGACACCCAAGTAGAGTAGTTGAGGGAAGAAAAAACATCTTCACTCTATCCTTAGGATGCTTTTCACAACCAACTCACTTCTGTCTCGTGCCAAAATTAGTTTGATCTGGATCATGCCCCTGAGCTGACTTGGCACCAGCACTTGGCACAGTGCCTGGCACATAGTAGGTGCTTAATAAAAGTTTATTGACTGACTGACTACAACAGCAATGCCAACTCTATTGCACCAGCAAGTCAGATGAAAAGATGGAACAAAGTTTTGTATTTGTGATACTATACCGAAAAAAAAAAAAAGCAAAACTCCTGATTCTAATATTCCAAGAACTCCACCTTCCCTACCTTGTTTCCCACAACTTCAGTTCATGTGTTTCATATTCCAGACAAACGGGATGGTCTCCCATACCCCATTCTTTTTCTAATTTCTGGGTCTTAGTTCATCAAATCCCTCATATCTAGAATGCACACACTTTTTCTTCCTTCCAATTCTGCCTGTTGAAATTCCCCTTCAGGGGCCATCTCCTTTATGAAGCCATCCCTGATCTCTCTGATGGAATTTAGTTCTCCCCCATTTAAGTTTTTCTTAACTTTTAAATTAGTCTTCTATTGTACACTTATCACATCCTAATTTATATCATATCTGTTTGAAAGCTTTATATTTCCCCTTTTAAATAAGATCCTTGAGAACTAAGATTCTCATTAATTTCTCTATTCTCAATCTAATAGTATGCTATGTACCTAGTAGGTGCTCAATGTTTCTTGGATTGAATTATTAGGTTATTCCTCTGGGTTAAAGAAAGACCTTAATGTGGAGACTATTTCTTCTATCCCCCCCCAGTAATATCACACAAATTTGGATCTATAGAATCATAGCATAGAATAGAACTATAGGGCTGGAAGGACCCACAGAATTAGATCCACAAAACATCAGAGTTAGAAAGTACCTTGGAATAGTAGCATCAAATTTAGATAGAAGCAGGGACAACTAACCCATATGTAAAGATCCTTGTAGTAGGCATATTGACTTAGAAAATCACATATTAGCATTACCTGTGTTTTACTGTATTTTTATTTATTTTGCTAAATATTTCCCAATTGGGGGCAGCTACGTGGCATCGAGTTCAAATCCAGCCTCAGATACTTACTAGCTAGCTGTGTGACCTTGGGCAAGTCACTTAACCCCTATTGCCTCCAAGATAAAAAAAAATTTTTTTAAACTATTTCCCAATTACATTTTAATCTGGTTCAGGCCATACTTGGGAGTATTGTGGGGGCTCATGTGATCAATTCGACATCTCTGCCTTAGAACATAAAATGTTAAAGCTATGAGGGAGGTTAACACACTAGAAGGACTGGAATTTAAGAATACTTCAAAGGAACAAGCATTGATTTGCATGTATTAGAGATAACAGGATGAACATTTTTCAGGATAAAATTATAATATTTGCTTATAATTATTTGTATTTATGTATGTATGTGCATTGAGTAGAAATTATAGTAAAATTATTAAAAATCATTTAAAAATTCTTGTGTCAATTGACACAGTTGGTACACCTGGTCCTTCTAGTATTAAAAACCATCTAATCCAATCCCCTCATTTTACATAGTATTAAACTGATGCTCAGCCAGGTTTTTGTTGTGGTTTTTTTTTAGGATTCAGTGTAGCTACTAACTTGGTTTTTAAGATCATCAGCTCCCTTTGACCCAGCAATAGCACTTCTAGGGCTATATCCCAAAGAGATCATACAAATGGGAAAAGGACCCACATGTACAAAAATATTCATAGCAGCTCTTTTTGTAGTGGCAAAGAATTAGAAATTGAGAGGATGCCCATCAATTGGGGAATGGCTTAGCAAGTTGTGGTATATGAATGTAACGGAATACTATTGTGCTATAAGAAATGATGAACAGGCTGACTTCAGAAAAACTTGGAAAGACTTGCATGGTCTGATGCTGAGTGAAATGAGCAGAACCAAGAGAATGTCTAATGACTAATGTTGATAAACTTAACCCTTCCCAGCAATACAAGGCTCTAAGACATCTCTAGAGGCCTTGCGGTGGGAAATGCTATCCACATCCAAAGAAAGAACTATGAAAGTTGAATTGCTATTTTTTTCTCTTCTGTTGAGTTTTGTTTCCCCTTTCTGACGGTTCCTCCTATTGGTTTTAATTCTTACTTACAACATCACTAATGTGAAAATATGTTTAATAGGAATGTAAATGTATAGCCTATATCAGATTGTGCGCCGTCTTGGGGAGGGTAGTAGGAAGGAAGGGGGAGAAAAATTTTAAATTCAAAAGCGTATGGAAGTGATTATTGATAAATCAAAATAAATTAATAAAATTTTTTAAAAAGATCATCAAAGACAGAGATCAGCAAATCTCTAATCCAAAAATTAGTTTATAGTAGCAAAGAAAGGTACAGAATGACAGCTGAAAGTAACATTTTAAATATTCTCAATATCTCAATAATCTTAAGTCAGGGAGAGAATTAGGAAGGATATTAACACCAAGGATAAATGTAGACTTGGAAGTCAGAAGACCTAGGTTCCTGTGGCTCTGCCACTAATAGCACCTCACCATTGCCTTTAGCAAGTTAGTCTCTGTCTCTGGACATCAATTTCCCCATCTCTAAAATGAGGGCTGTAGACTAAATGAACTCTAAGTTTCCTTCCAGCTCTGATATTCTGCATTCCAAGGCCCCACCCCCCACCCCAACTCTGACAATTCTGTTCCCGAAGCTTCCTTTTGGGAGAGCAGGGAAAATGGATAGAGCATAGAGCCAAGGAAGACCTGAATTCAAGTCTCACCTCTGAAAAATACTGACTGTATGGCCTTGGGCAAATCACATTCCTTCTCAGTGCTCCAGGCAACTGAAACTATAAATCTCAGAAAAGTTTTAGAAATGACCTAATAGAAGTTTCCTCACTAGGTGATCCCTAAGACAATTACATCATGGGTTCTATCAAAAAAAAAACCATTTCTGTAATCAGATCAGACCCTGTGAGACATTATCTATAGGCTCCTTAAAAGCAGAGGATGCTTTTACCTTTCTTCGTATCCCCATCACTTAATACAGTACCAGGCACATGGCAGGAGTTTAATAAATGCTTGTTGACTGGCTAATTGATCATAAAGTATTCAGAGCTTCAGAAATATAATACCATCCTTTAAAAGGGGGAGGGTGGGAAGACCTATTTGTACAAAAATATTTATAGCAGCTGTTTTTGTGGTGGCACAGAATTGGAAATTAAGGGTATGCTCATCAATTGGGGAATGGCTGAACAAGTTGTGGCATATGATTATAATGGAATACTATTGTACTATAACAAATGACCAGCAGGATGATTTCAGAAAAACTTGGAAAGATTTACATGAACTGATGCAAAGTGAAGTGAATAGAACCAGGAGAACATTGTACACAGTAACAGCATTATTGTACAATGATCAACTGTGATTCTCAGCAATGTGTATTCTCAGCAATACAATGATTCAAAACAATTTCGAAGGACTCAGGATGAAAAATGCTATCCACATCCAGAGAAAAAACTGATGTAGTCTGAATGCAGATCGAAGCATACCATTTTTCTTTTTCTTTTAGTCTGTGTCTTCTTTGATAATATGACTAATATGGAAAAATGTTTGGAATGAATGCACATGTATAACCTATATCAAATTCCTTACCATCTCATGGAAGGGGGAAGTAAGAGAAGGAGGAAGAAAATTTGGAACTCAAAAATCTTTTTAAGTGAATGTTAAAAATTGTCTTTACATGTAATTGGAAAAAATAAAATATTATTTTAAAAAAGAGAATACCATCCTTTAGGAAAGCTTTATCTCTTTTTTAAATTAATAATGTCCTCAAATCATTCCATCTTCCACTCAAGCCCTCCTCTGCTGTCTCATTGCAATGTGGAGGTAAGCTTGGATTCTCAAAGGCTATGCTAGTGCAGCCCAAGCTCTGGCAGGTATGCACATAGTAATGAACTGTGTGTCCGCTGTCCAAGGATTGGCCTAGCTAAGTGCCAACAGGCAGATCACCACAATAGTGATCACCAAGTGGTGATATTTTGGTCACATCAACACCTGTGGATTATCCACTTAGGTGAAAAGGAATTGTAAAGTCCAGTTAGAAGAAGGATTCAATGCTGGTGAACTCACAGATCTTTTGTAATACTAAAGAATTATCTTTCCATCAGCCATGCAGGTCAATTATCCATCTCTCTAAAACTGTAAAGTTAACAGAACCTCATTGACTAAAACTGGCACAAATTCAGTCGAACATTTCTAAATAAAGGCTTATTGTGGAATTCTGTATACTGCAGAATCAAAGAATGTTAGAGATGAAAAGGACTTTGGAGACCATCTAGTTCAATCTCAGTTTAAGGAAACTGAGGCTGAGCAGTTAAGTGATTTGTCTAAGGTCACATAGCTTAGTAAGCAGCAAAATTCAAACATAGGTCCTTCGACTCCAAATCCAGTGTTCTTTCTGCTATTTTACATTGTCTATATAGTGAAAGAATTAGAGGAACTTTATTGGCCTATGACTAATAAGTAGCTCCCACACATATAGCATTTAGAAAGTATATAGATTCATTTAGCCTGAGTGCTCAGTCATCTCTCAAAGACTACAATTTTCAGAGCAGGTGCCAATCTGCATTGGAAAAAGGAGTTCCTCAGAAGGAGATCCCTAAGCTGATGCAATCATAGGTCTAGTTAAAAAAAAACACAAAAAACCAAAGAGGTTTACAATGGGATTTCCCTGAAATAGTCCCATGAGTTACAGAGTAGAATTATCACCCATTCTCAGAGTTGGAAGGGAATAAAAAGGCAGTCCTTACTTGAATATGAGTTTCTTCTATCTGGCAAAAGTTAATTTCCTTGAATACTCAAGTGAATGGTAACCCACTACTTCTGGGACAATCTATTCTGCCTTGGATAGAACTAATTGTTAGGAAGCTTTTCCTGACATCAATCCTAATTTTTCCTCTTTGCAACTCCTTTGCCTACCCCACCCCCCAAAGAGACAAACAAACCAAAACCTCCTTCTGGTTCTGCCCTCTGTAGCCACAAAGAACAAATCTCTCTTATATGTGACAGCCCTTCAGATATGTTAAGATAACTATCATGTCACCATTAAGTTTTCATTTCTTTAAGTTAAACATCCCCAGCTCTGTCAACTGAACTATTATTAGCTCTGTGTTACAGATGAGGAAGCTGAGGCACAGAGAGGGTTAGTGGCTTGCTCAGGGGGTCACACAGCTAATAAATGATGGAGCTTGGATTTGAATTCAAAACTTCTAAATAGCAAGTCAGTGTTCTTTACACTACCCTATACTTCCTTCCAATATTAACCAAAGCATTTCCTGGCTACATGCATTCATCCCTTAGAAGTGTCTAGAATCTGAATTTCCTCAGTCTCTTCATGTAAGCCAATTAAATGGCTCTCTGACCTTGGCAGCAGGGAGAAGCCCAACTCCTAATAGGCTGCAATCCTGTCTTCCTCACTGGGCTCTAGAAGTCACTCCCTGGTAATAAGTTACGCTCTTAGAGAGGCAGGTTAACTGTTCCAGGCCACTAGGGTATCATTCAGTGCAGTACAGTCATAGAGATGTGAAGTTTATTTCTTCTAGGAAGGACAAAAGTTTGGTTGATTGGCCCCAGCCTAAAAAGAGAGATTTCTCAACTGGGGCAGTACCTCTGATGTAGGAAAACACCAAAGAGAATTTCCTTAGGAAATGTGATTTTGGCACATTTCAAATTCAGCTCACTGTCAGGGAAATTATTCAAAGGGATTGGAGTCGGGGAGAAAAGCCAGCCAGTGGGGAAGGCTCTAGAGGTAGAGCCTTTGGCTACTGCTAGTGTCAGAGCCCCAGCCTTCAGGGGGCTGATTGCACAAGCAAATGTAACCACATCACTTCATCACAGTGAGACCAGGAAGCAAATTTATAGAGATTAAGAGGCAAAGGCTACTATGCATATTATCAGTGGGCTACCTTCAACCCTGGGGAAGGGGAGGAGGGGGCTTGTGTCTCCCTTCCCCCAAACCACATTTTAATAAAATCATCTTGGG